TATATTTATATATGGGTATTTACGGGTTGTTGAGAGTTGCATATATTTTGGGAAATGAGTTGTGAGCTTGAGATGTGGAGATGTTTTGGACTTGGGATTTTTGTGTTTGAGTTTTGGTTTCTGAATTGTGAAACTGCATGCTAGAGCATTATTTTTACATGGTGGGGTTACTATGTTGTTTTAAAGTGAAACTTTATTTCTGTCCACTCACATCTTTCTGTTTTGCGCCCCCCAGACAGTAGTTGCTCCTGAAGGCATTCGAGCAAGTCACGAGCTCCGAACTTGTCGTCTGTTAATAGGGTCTGTATAAATTCTTTCTACTCCCCTGTTTGTTGTAAACAAATTCTGTAGACGCTCTGTTATTGCCCATGTTAGGCTACTACTTGAGGCCGGAGGCCATTTTGTGTTAGATTGTAGTATGTAAAAGCATGCTGGCAGTTGGGTTGTGTTTTGATGTAAATTTTGCAGGTTGTTTATTGTTGGTTTGGGCATTTTACAGGGGAGACTCTGCCAAAATTTTGGTAGGATGTCTTGGGTTTTAGTAAGTGAGCCCGGCATCAGTATGATGTCGGCACCAAGACAGGATCCGCCTCGGGTTCGGGGGAAATTCCGGGGCGGGTCCTGTCAACGTGACTTAAAGGTCTTCCTCAAGATACTCAGCATATGCACAGAGGCATGTAAATGTACAACAAGGAATCTATACTCTTAGTAAAAAGAGAGTATACTCTGAAGATATGATTCTTGAATCTTTGGCCAAAGTACAGGAAGAGAATTGAAACAAAAATGTTTGCAATTGCATCCAACTGAATTATATAACCTTGAGATGTCATGTTAGGGATTTGACACAAGTTAACTATATCCCAACAATAGGACATAGAGTATTGTAATAGAGAATGACCAAATTGCATTGTAATCACAAACGTACTAGGTTCCCTAAATGAATTTTATTTAGCTTGGGTAGCCATGGAAGCCTTGTATGTAACATCCCACATCGACCAACGGAGAGGGGGTGATGTGCCTTATATGTACATACTCGCCTCAATCTAACATGAGGCCTTTTAGGAGCTCACTGGCTTCGGAGTCATGGGAACTCCGAAGTTAAGCGAGTTAGGGCTAGAGCAATCTCAAGATGGGTGACCCACTGGGAAGTTGCTTGTGAGTTCCCAGAAACAAAACCGTGAGGGCAGAGAGGGGGGCCCAAAGCGAACAATATCGTGCTGCGGCTTGGTCAAAGTCAAAAGTCAAAGGTCAAATTGTTGACCTGAGACTTGATGTGGTCAACAAAAGGTTGACTAAGACTAATGTTTGTTAGACGAGTTAGTGATTTAATTAGTTAAGTAATTAAATCAATTAAACTAATTGGATTAGTTCAATGAATTAAATAAAGTTATGGAACTTTAGTTTTGGTCCTACATGACTTAAGCATTTATGGGAAAACAGACTTTATAGACTCAGGCAAAGTGAGACACATTGTAAGATTAATGTGGTAGACCAAAATAGCCCAAAAAAGCCAAGGAAGAGGAGGGTGCAGCAAATGGGTCTTTAGTGGCACATGTGTGACAATATGTCTGTATATAATCATACCCATTGCACAACACCTCGTTAAGGTTTCAAGTTA